TGGAACAACAGAAGTCCTTTTATTGAGCTACATCACAAAAAAATGTTCGTGTAGTCTTACATGACAAGAGAAAACAAGCGCGCGAAAATTCATTCATGACAACCGACTGCAAAGCAGTAACTCGATAAAGTATCATCTTCAGACAACTGTGAAGACAGTTTCGCATTTCTGGGAGAAGGACGTCGGCCGTTACTTTGGAAACAATGTCTGTCAAAAGATTTGCTTTGTAAACATTAGCACACACGTCAGCAGCGTACACCCATGGGCAAATAGTAGACGCTAAATTAACCAATCAGAGCGCACGCTTTGCTTTAGTTATGTTATAATGATAGTTGGTGATAGTTGATGATAGTTAGAGGAGATTCAACCACCATCGACTATCACGCGCCGTTTGACCAGGCCTAATTAATAATTGGTGGAGGAGGAAATAATTGCTCTCATGTTGATCAGGCAGTTGAGTAGGCAGTATGTCATTTGATTTTGGCGATAGCGCTAGGTGCCCTCCGTCCCAGTCCTGTGAGTTAAACTTACTGGTTTGTTGAATGTGATGAACATTACCAATAAGTCAGATCAAAGATTTTTTTAGCCATTGAGGAAGTAAGATAAACATACATACATACTGTATTGTAGCCTTCCCAATAGGGATGGATGGAACAATGACTTATACTAATTATAATAACATTATTGTTAATGAAGCACGGCTGCAAAAAGTTAAAGTTAGATTTGGATGTTCATTAATTAAATTCTGAAGATAAACAGCTTCTTTTATTACAATCCTATCTGAGCCCTATCACGGTATTCTGCTAACATTTGGCGAGTGATTGAGTGATCGAGTGAAAGAAACTTTTGCACAAAAAAATTAAACCCCCGATCCAAAGTTGAGAGGCCAACGAGAGGTTCAAAATAGTGCTAAAAGGTTACAAAGTAAAGAACAGTTTTGTCCATCTCGATAAGATTAAATTTTATGCATTTATGGGTTACACAAAAAATTGCTCTATTATTGCTCTCCTTATAGTCTGCATGCTAATTTTTCTTTTATATCCTCATGGAAATATTTTGGAAAACGTTTAATTAAATCAAGACAGGGATTACAGTGCAAAGTCTCTTAAGCGTACTCGAATTAAATGGTTTTTTTTTCTCACATTCCAAATGTCAAAGTTTTGTTAACATTACAAATGCTGTTATAGCTCTGGCTCTACAGCACGAACCAAGCTTCTAAACCGAACAAAGATCTTAATTTTCTTCCTCTCCCTTGCGCGTCTTCGAGTGATGTTCTTTCTCCTTGCGGTCTTGACGATGACTTTTTTCAGATTTGTCTCCTTTGTCAGCAGGTACTGCGGCAGGGGCCGCTGCCGGAAACGGTGCCGGAGCCGGTGCCGGCATCGGAGCTGGCATTGGAGAGGGCATTGGGGATGGCATTGGAGAGGGCATTGGGGATGGCATTGGAGAGGGCACTGGGGATGGCATTGGAGAGGGCATTGGAGATGGCATTGGAGAGGGCATCGGGGATGGTATTGGAGAGGGTACCGGGGATGGCACTGGAGAGGGCACCGGGGATGGCACTGGAGAGGGTACCGGGGATGGCACTGGAGAAGGTACTGGGCTTGGACTTGGGGAAGGAATCGGCTGCAATATAAGAAATTCGTATTAATACGGAGCTGCGTGATAAAAACGTTAGTGGCAGTAACCTCGGATCAAACTAAAAGAAGAGTCTACGAGAGCTTAGCGATAAGAGCTTTCTCAAAGTTAACTTTCAACCATTAAACTCTCGTCCAATTTTTTTTTTTTTTTATGAACCGAGATGAGACCGAGACGGAGACCAAGAGGTGGTTCACAATAATCATCATACGAAGCAAACATTCAACTTTCTTGAACGAAGAAACCTGAGTCAATAAGCTAACAAGACGAAAAAGGAGCGAACAACTGCGCGGAATTCTCAGAAGACAAGATAGTGCAATCCTGTTCTCTCGGAACCCAACTACAGCGCAAGATTTGATTTATCTTGCCCGTTTCCAAAGCTGGCCATAAAAAAAGAACGCATTTTGACCTGGATGCTTTTGCAGAATATACACGCGATATAGAAAAACCAACCAAGAAAAAAACTTCAAGTCCAAACAGGAAAGAAATAGGCGACCTTAATTGTCTTCCAATCCCTTTTTACAACGAATAAGGTCAACGTATAATTAAAACCAGTTGCAGCTCAACAATGTTTAATTCAACCAACTCTCACTGGATGACCTCAGTTAGCAGTGTATGTTCACAAAAACACTTTTGTGTATTCTAGAGTGATTTCGTGTTGTGTCTCTGAAACACTAACTCTAAAAGCTCGACTAAGCGAGGAAAAGTAGGGGAAGACCATAATTGACAAACAAAGAGAAATAAGCTTGGTAGAGTAACGATAGAGTAAATCTCTATAGAGGATACCTTTGTCGCACGTTACAGAAGGGTCCTCCAACAAAAATTACAAATAATTAAATTAATCTTATAATATTAACATAGATAAAAAACTAAAGAAATAAAAGAATAAATATATCGTTGCTTTACAGATTGCCTACCTGTGGTGATGGAGCCGGAGTAGGTGAAGGAGTCGGATATGGGGAGGGGTACGGGTAGGGATACGGGGAGGGGTGTGGGTAGGGATACGGGGAGGGGTATGGGGAGGGATATGGGGAGGGGTATGGCGAGGGATATGGGGAGGGGTATGGGGAGGGGTATGGCGATGGATATGGAGCAGGATAAGGGTATGGATATGAGGGTGGTGGGACGGGTATCGGGTATTGCCCGGACTGGTACTGATAGGGATGTAGAGCTTTAATAGGATATGGATATCTTTGTGGAGCTGCTGGGGTATTTTGGTACTTCTCGCAACTGTGAGGACATGTTTCTCTTATGTCGTTGTTCGTTGCACAATAACCCATCTTTCCCCATTCTGGACAAACCGCATGGTTATCTGTGTAATCGGATTCTGAAAAAAAGAAAAACAGAAAAGGCACAAATTTTACGTTTTTACGCCATATTTTACCGCAGTGTTAATATCACTTATATTCCAGGCCTGTATCGTTGTATTTAGTAAGTGTCATTAGAAGAGGATGAGATTTGACAACGAAATGACAAAAGGCAAAACTAGACGCTTTATAGGTACAACTGAATTCACAGCTGATAATAAATTATAAAATGTCACTGATAGAACGGACGGCGAGGCAATTTTCCGAATGCGGCGGCTTAATCAACGTGGAACTTATGCAAAATCGCACTGCCATCTCGGTAAATGATATTGCAATTCTTTCCTCCTTATGCATGTTTTTTCCAAATTTCATAACGTGTATTATGATTGTCAATAAGCAAGAATACAAATGAATCTTCAGAATTCGCCTAACTTTTAAGTTGTCAACGAATCGTCTTTGCAGTTTTGATGGGTAATGCTACGAACCAATCCTTCACGGTTACTAGTCCATTTTTCTTGAGGATAGAAACTCGGATGCAACGCGGGCAGAGTAATTTTCACAGACTGAGCTTACGATGTTCGGTGATATATATTTTTTCCAAGAGGCCATAGTAACGAATCCTGCAATCTGATTGGTCCGGATTTTCTTATCTCTGCCCACGGTTATGGTAGCGCGCGCGCGCGATGTGGTTTGAGAGAGAGAGTGAAAAAATTAATAGGTTATTCACCGGCTTAGGGTTGGTCCATATTGTGAAAAACTATGACCTTGGACCTGAATGCTGCCCACACAGTTTTTCATTATACGGACCTCCCAACCGGAAAATACAAATATCTATATATTTTTCTATATAAGAAAAAATGTATTAGATATTTGGAGAAGAAGGTACTTCAACCTTTGTTGGTTTTCATGGAGGTCCTCTATCCTGACTGAATTGGAAATTGGATATGTTTGCTCTTCAGGAGGGAGGAAAACCAGAGAAAAACCCTTGGAGCCACGTATGGCGCGGGACCGGAACCGATTCCGGACCACATTGGTGGGAGGCGAGCGCTCTCACCACTGCGCCATCACTGCTTTATCTCTTGTCATAGAGCTGCAGCATACCTTGCATATCTTATCAAATTGAAAAAATGTGTTGTAACATGATCATGGTCGTAATCTAGATTAAAATGACGCAGTTATTTCTACCTGGGCCACAAAACTCGCAGGATTTCTTGCAGTTCTGCTTCATGTAATCGGGTTGCCGCTGACACCGTTTCTTATCCTGCTCATTGGGGAAATAATCTCCGCAATTATCATCAAGATCCATGCATTTCTTAGTACCTCCTGAAAACGAAAGTAATAAATACATGTAATATGAGGTTGTTGAGAGTGATAAATATCTGCTCATTCATTCGCAAGCTCACTCGTTTCTCGTTAATATTTAAATTGCCTGGGGCCCGTTTCTCGAAAGCCCCGGAGGCTTTCCTGACCCGCAAAGCCATTTTTGGTTAATCTGTAACTAAAAAGGGAGCAATGTACACGCGTGAAACTTCTTGTATGAAGAGAACCTCTGTTCGTGTTAAGATTATGCGAATAAAACAGCTCTGTAATCATAAGGTTTCAGATTTTGCCATGGCTTTTCGGGTGCAAAAACTTTCCGGGACCTCCGCGAAATAGGCCCCAGGAACACTAAAGAGGACTAAGGTCACCATGCGAAAATACTCTCCACCGAGTTTTTGGTCATTGCACAGTAATCCAATAGTTCCATCAATTTAAAGTTTCTTTACTGAAACGTTCCCACAAAAACTTACTCCCTTACACAGTAAAACTTGTTACCCATGCATGATGCTCCGCACTCACTCTGTCCTCAGAAAAATCTCACCACGCTACATTTAAAGTAAATGAAACATTCTATCTCATATCGTGAGGGCATCGATTAAGAACCAAGTTCAGAAGGAGTCAATGTGCAGTTCTTTCACTTCATAAATATTAGAACTATTATTTGAACGATAAAAAATTTGACACCATTTAAATACCCAGTTTTGACCACGATGCATTGCGCACTGTGCAGCATTG